GTCGATGGATCGTCCGCCAAGCACTCTTCCAGCTCGCCCATCTCCGCGTCGCTGGTGGTGGTGGACGCGGATGGTGCCGCAGCCGTTGAACGGGGTGCCGGCACCGGTGGGACTGGTGCGTGTTCGAGGAAGAGGCCAAGTGCCGGGTCTTCGGCGGCGGCTCCGTCGACGAAAGAATCTGGCCCGTCGGTAGCATAAGGGGTCGCTGGATTGTTGGCCAAGTACTCCTCCAGCTCATTCATCTCCGCGTCGCTGGTGTTGGTGGACGCGGATGGGGCCGCAGTTGTCGAACGGGGGGCCGGCACTGGTGGGGCCGGTGTGTGCTTGGGGAAGGGGCCGAGCGCCGGGTTTTCGGCGACGAACCCGTCAACGAGCAGTTGGTCGGGGGCAGGACTCCGGCTTCCAGTAGCTTGGCTGAAGCCGAGAGCCGCCGGAGCTAGAAGGTCTGGCCGATCCCGGCGAAGCAGTTGTACTGCTGCTGCGACGCCGGCGGGGCGGCCCATGTTTTTCAGGAGGTCAGTGTGTCGGCGGCTGGCCTCGTGTGTGTCCTGGTGGACCACCGGGACTTGGCACAGCCAGCAGGCGTCTGGGTGGTCGTCGGGTAGCGAAAAACTGGGCAGCGTATGCCCTCGGAAGGGCTGCTGGATCTGGGCGGGCAGCTGGGAAGGGTTTGGACGGGGCTGGTTCCTCCATCGCACCCTGGACACGAAGTGGACGGCCTCTTGGCCGTCCTGGGCCGTCCAGGTGGCCATGGTGTGGCGAGGTGGCTTCCGCCGAGCTGGTTCTCCAGCCGCCGTCGAAACCGCTTCTCCTCGTGGGGTGGAGTCTCGTCTGCCCGCCTGGTCACTCGAGGCTCTCCGGTGCTCCGCATCTCCGCCGCCCTGCCTCTGTTGATGTGATCGAGGCCAGGGTTGATCACCCCGCCTCTGCCAACCGGGTTGAGCACCCTGTTGGTTGGTCCCCCTTGTTCTTCGCCAACCGGGTTGACCACCCTGTCGGTTGGTCTGGCCGTCCTCCCGCCAACGGGGTTGACCACCCTGTCGGCTGGTGTGGCCGGTCTCCTGCCGAGCGGGTTGGCCACCCGGTCGGCTGGTCTGGCTGGTTCCGCCGGTACCCCGGGAAGTGGAAGGTCGCCCTCCTGGATGGCGCCGCCCATTCTGGTTCCTCCGGGGGGGCATTTCTGGACAGAACAAGCTCTATTAACATCTTGCAGAGATTAGATCAAGTTCTAGGCCGCAGATGATAGCGCCGCGCAGAGCCCCTATCAGATCTCTCACCGACGGGTTCGCGCACTGTTCGCGGTCGTCCGGATTGCAAAACCCATCTCGACAATGCGTTCGTCCCAGTCCCTGTGTCTCTCCGTTAGTGTGATCAGCATGCTCTTCAAGTTTCGGGTCACTCTCTCAGTGATATTAGTCCGAGGGTGGTATGGTGTCGTCCTTTTGTGCTTTATGTTTAGCGCCAAGCAGGAGTCAGTGAACACTCTGCTGGTAAAATAGCTAGCATTATCGCTGATGAGACACGTGGGTGTACCGAAGCGCATGAAAGTTTCCAACAACTTCTCCCAGATGCGCTCCGAGACCAGCTTCCACAGCGGGTGTAACTCCACCCATTTTGAGAAATGATCGGTTATTACCAATAAATACTGGTTCCCACGGGGACTTTTTGGAAGTGGGCCGATGATGTCGCAAGCAACCATCTCCCACGGGTAGTGACTCACTACAGGCTGCATCAGGCCTGGGGGCTTTCCCCCTCGCGGCTTCGCTTTCTGGCAGGCTGGGCAGCTACGGGCGTATCGGAGTGTGTCCTGTCTCATCCCCGGCCAGGTCGCGACGCGACATAACTTTTGAAAAGTCTTGCTGCCGCTGCCATGACCAGCCAAAGCCGAGTCGTGGAAGTATCCGATAAACCGCCTCCGTAGCCTCCTAGGAATCACCACCCTGAACGGAGAGTCGTTCCCCTCCTCGTCGTCGATTGTTGGAATGTAGCGGAGCAATAAGCCGTCCTGACCCAGCAGGTATGAATCAATATGTTCGTTGCATTGACCGCCAGCGTTCCCGGTGTTGCTTGCCATTTCCGCAATTTTCCCCAACACCCGCTGACAAAAACCATCTGCCTTTTGGGCTTTAACAAGCTCTTCCTTGCTCACCACTTCACCCCAAGCCACGATCCTCTGTTCCCTCGTGCGGCCTCCTAACACTGCGACGAGCTCCTGTTGCATCGATCCCTTCCCGCTGTCTCGCTTATGAGCGGCCGCGCGGGAAGCTCGTCTCTCGCAATCCCCTGGTTGCGTCTCCTCCTTCCAACCACTATCATGGGGCGCCCGAGAAAGTGCGTCTGCAACCTTGTTGGTGGAGCCCTTTCGGTACTCGACAGTATAGGAGTATCGCTGCAAAGTGAGTGCCCACCGAGCTAACCTCCCCGCCGGCTCTTTCAACCTTTGAATCCAGGTGAGAGCGGCGTGGTCTGTCTGAATGACGAAGGTGGTCCCGTCTAAATACAGGTCGAATTTCTTTAGAGCAAACATGACGGCCAGCCCCTCCTTCTCCGTCACGCTGTAATTGCGTTCTGGCGGTGTAAGGGTTCGGCTGGCGAATGCCACCGGGCGCAGGTGTCCGTCATGTTCTTGCAATAACAAAGCACCGACGCCGAATTAGTGCGTAGTAAATGTTACCACCAATCTCGACGCGCACGTACGGCCCCTTCTCAGATGTCAAACCCTGAGTCCGACATGCCGACGGGGCAAACGCCGACCTGTCGCTGACCGCAACTCCAGCCCCGTTGGCAGACTGATGAGGGGCCTCGGCAGCGGCCGGCAACCGCGAGTCGGGAAGTCCAATTAGTGGCGCCGGCCTCTCCCGTTTCCCTGAGACCCATGGGGGGGAGCTGCCGTCCATGTGCACTGACGCTTGATATGCCCAAGCTGATTGCATTTATAGCACCTGACCTGTCTCCTGCCATTGTGTGCTGAGCGTCCGCCGCTACCATCACGCGAAGCAGTGTCGCGCCGGGGGTCATTGTAGTTCCCGCGACCCTCGTAATGATTCGCGACTCCGCGGTGGTCGGCTGCGCCGCCTCCCCTACGGGGATGCGCCCTGGAAGAGCCCGCGTTAGCTGCTCTGCGCCTCTGTTCAAAAGCGAAGGGATCTAAGGCGCGGGGCACAGCAGTTGCGCCACTCCTATGTCCTGTAACGGCCACGTACGGCGTACGTGAGTCGTCGCAAGCTCCCGCGCCTCGTCCTGTCCAGGCGCAACCCGGCTCCAGAGATTCCTCTGCGCGTGGAGGGGGGCGATACGTCAACTCGGCGAGCAAGCTCGCCTGAACGATGCGCGCCTCTCTGGCAACTGCTTCCAGATCAGCGGAATCACGTCCGCGCAAGTAGGGTTTAAATCTAGGGTGACACTGGCGGATCGCCCTAGCTACCCTCTCCGCGTCTGACGCTGTAGGGTCGGCTCTGGAGTAGAGATCCTGGAGAGCGCGGACGTATTCTACGAGGCTCTCGTCCGGATGCTGAGTACGGCTGGCTAGCTCATCTCTGATCCGCATCTCATAGTCGGGAGGCAGAAATTCCTCTCTGAATCGTGTCCGGAATTCTGCCATCGAAAGGAACGGCCTCTGCATTCGCCTCCAACGCGCTGCGTCATCCGTCAACGCGATTGGGACGATCTGTATCAGGGCCGTTTCATCCGACGCGCCCAACGCGGCAATGTACGCGTCTAGGTCCTGCAAGAAATCGTGAACCGATGCTGCGTCGGAGTAGCCCGAATAGGTCGGCGTCGGCACGCTCAACCGCGGGCGAGGCACGGGCGTAGGCGCGGGATTCACCACCCCTGGGGCCAAACCCATCTGTCTAGAAAACGTCGCAAACATCGCCGTCATGGCGTGCATTAGTTCGCTGACGTCTCCCGTGTTCACCGCCGGAATTGGGGGTTCTAGCGCTGCCGCAACGCTCGCTTCCCCACTCGTGCCTTCTCCCACGTCCGAGTCAATATCCGCCACTGACTGAGTTGAGGCCTCGGGATGGGCGGCCTTATTCCGTAACCTGGACATGGCGGCAGAACGTTAAACACTGATGTCCAGCGGAGTAACGAAAATTCAAATGGGGAAACACAACAAACCTAAATTTAGAAATCGCGATTCGTGGGACTCCCTGGGAACGAAAAGAAACAACGGCAGACTGATCGGGCCCCATGTTGGAAGCGCCATTTATGTGGGTCGCCTATCAATATCGCCCGATCAGGCCGAGTTCCATTCGCCCCAAGGAAGTCACACGAGAGAGCGCTATCATTAAGCAAGGTTTAATTGATACTCATGTGCTCGGTGTTGTCCGGGTCTTTCCTGGGCTCGCTGAGGTCCGGGTGCTTGCTTGGCTCGTGAAGTCCGGCTCTTTGTAGGCTCCTCAGCACCGTCTGTCCTGTTGGCCCACCGTCCTTCGAACCTCAGCCTCGCACCGACCACGAGCCTCTCCTTTCTTCTTCTTCCCCGCTCTCGGCGCCGCCCTTCCGCGTGCCGTGAGGCTCATTGTTCCCCACAATATATATATATATATATATATATATATATATATATATATATATATATATATATATATATATATATATATATATATATATATATATATATATATATATATATATATATATATATATATATATATATATATATATATATATATCACGTTGTGTGCATCAAGTGTTCCTTTTTTTCAATAATATTTGTATCTCCTGTCATACAATGCCCTATCAAGGCTTTTTGAAGTATATTAAATAAATAAATAAATAAAATGGTATCGCTCGGAAGACAAAGACAAAAGGAGAACTGGACATCACTGTGGGCTGGTGCGGTACACTTCCCTTTCTGAAATTGTTTGCGAGTATTGTTTAATTTTATTACTAGTTTATCCACAATACATAAGACATGAAATTGTATCTGTTCATTTCTACATATCGAAGGCAAATTTGTTTCATAGTTTTATGCCACTTTTTCTTTATCTACATACCTTAGGTAATCCTCCATTCTTGCTGTAAAATTATATCGTCTGGTGTGCACATAGGGTACATTATCTGGGTTCACGCTGGAAAGGTAATAGCATGTATACTTGTTAACCTCAGTTCTTTTTTCTAGTTTCACTGAACAAGCCCTGACGCAGTGGTGATATATTTTTTCTTCAGTTGCTAATTTTCAGTTGAAAATACTCAAAGAAAGTAAGGTGTTTTATTTATAGTATTAAAAATGCTGTCTCAAGAACGCCGTCTTCAGCGCACAGAATAATTTAATTTGTGGTAACGCATCAACAAATTGTAGTCAGTTGATTGTAGATAATCGTTTATAGGTAAGGCTTGGAGATTCTAGTTTGCTTGTCAATAATTAATCAAAAATAGTGGGATCGTCGTCGCCGTCCCAGACGTCGACCTCAAGGACGACGTCGGGGGCGACGTCAAGGACAGCCTCTAGGACGACGTTGAGGATAAAGTCCTAGAGGACGACGTCAGGAACGACGTTTAGGACGATATCTATACTCCGTTCAACCTTAGCTACGACTGCAGCCAATGCCCCAAGCCGGAAAGCTCGAAATGGTATCATTGAAGTTTTCTTACGCAGAACGAGCACTCGCGCTAGAAATATACGTCCACGTTACGCCCGCGTTCCTGGCTTATGGCCAGGAACGCGGGCTAGCTCGTCTGAGAGGTCGTCTTACAGGACGACTTCTAGGGCGACGTCGAGGGGGATGTCAAGGACATCAGATCACGTCAGCTTCAAATACAGGCGCTTACGAGCTGACGTGACCAACCCTTCGGCCCCGATCGCTGCATGTGCAGGATTTAAGTGACCTTGATTACGTGACCCGGCACTTTAGCCACAGGCGCTACGTCACCTTGATTACGTGACCTTGAGAGTGGTTGGGTCTGTAAAGATACCGCTTTAAAAAGACCTAGGCTACCTGGTCTCAGGTAAGTTTTAATGCGATAGCTTTAAGGTTCTCGTGTTGCAGAAACTCCGCCGTCGGCGTCAACTTTGGTGGGACCGGAAAATCCTGATTGGTCGATAGTGTCATGACGTCACAGCCACACGCACACGCTTCCATGGCTTGGGAACGAGCGCGGGTTGATATGTGAAAGCTTTGCGAACGGGGCCCAATAACGTTATCGCATTCCACTCTTAAAGTCGAAGCTTAAAGGAGTGCGGAAACGAAATGAACTCTCCACGGGCTCTCTGCCTCTCGCTTCAAAATCGGCCAGCGAGAAGCCCAAGTTAAGCGACAGTGGTCACTTAACTGATCACGTATATAGGTTGGGCGGTCATGCGACCGCCCAACCTATATACGTGATCAGTTAAGTGACCACTGTAGGTGTTACGTGATCTACCAGAGTTACGTGACTACGCCACATAATATCACGTGACATCACAGTCCCATAATCATATTTGAAAATTACCGTGATTATTCGCATAAAGATTCGATACACAGAATGTACGCGCATTACCCTTTGAAATGCGTCGAAAAGCCACCCAAATTAAAGAAAAAACTAACTCACATGAAAGGCCTCGTATTGCTAAAAGGTAAGAGATTATTGCACACCTAAAAGCCTAAAAACGCCAAACAATCGGAGAAGTTAAGTATGTGTCTCTCAAGTGGACGCAAAGAATCAAAGTAAGTTACAAACGTATAAAAGTGAAGCGACCTGACATCTGTTACAACTTTACCACAGATAAACATAATGTGTTCCTCTTTGATATCTTATTATCACTGCTAGGTAATGTTTTACTCATTGTTAGCTCAAATAAAAACAAGACATTGACATAAATATTGGCTAAAAGGTTTTTACGCGTTTTTTTGTTTTTATAAATATCGCAAGGCAATTTAATCCAAATTATTATCGACAAAAAGCATGCCTTATTGGTTATTTTGGTTTATACGCACCTGTCTCTGACCAGTTCAGCCAACATTCTGCCTGCGCTATAAGGCGTGTAGGGAGCGTATGCTAACAACATAGCTACCACACTTTGGCACAGCGTCTGGTACTTGGAATACCCTAAAATGATTAAATTCGTAGGAAGTTTATCACACAAGCCTTAATAATACGCACGAATATTTTGTTCATGCAAGGCAATACTATACAATAATATTTTTTCTAAAATGATTATTTGACATTTGTTTCGAAAGAAGACGGGTATCGGTATTCCTAAATTTAATCGCGATATTGTTTTGAAAAGGTAACTATTGTTTTGAAAAGGTAACGAAAATGTTTATACGTTTTCGTTACCTTTTAAAAAAAAAGTAAACTTACTGGCAACGATGTTGCTTCAAATGCGTTACCGCCTGGACTGCACAATTCACGCGAAGAAAAATCTACTGTTTTTTTTTTCCTTATTTCTCTTTGGTGAAAAAGGCCATATTCAAATGTCGTTTGTCGTACATCAACCTAAGTGCAGGTTAAGCACAAGCCATTCTATATCGTCTTATCTAAGTAAGGATCAACAGCAAAATAAGGCAGGAAGCGCAAGCTCTTTGCGTTCGACGGTACCTTGGCTCCACAAGCGCTGATACAGCGGGATGATGAGTCTAAAGGCCCATACATACATTAGCGTTTTCACGCGTTTGAGTGCGGAACGGCGCCCTTGGGGAAGGGAGCGGTTGCTTGCGGTACGACTTACGCCGACAAGCATCACGCACTAACGCGTTGCAAGAGAGTAGAACGCCGTTCAACTTACGAAGTGGCTTCGTTTACCGAGTGTTCAAAAAACCGATCAGAAGTCGATAAAAAAAAAAAAGAAGAGAATGTCACGTGCTCGGCCGGGCTTGTCAGCAAGGTGAATCCGGTTCTCCGTTTGGAGACGGATTTTGCTTTTGCCTGTTGGGGAGTGGGGGAGACTAGGGGAGATGGTTATTACTAGCCTCTGATGGTTCAAATTCGACAGAAGTCGCAAAAGCCGGTGGGATCGCCTGAAGAAATCGGCCACGTCGATGGTGTCGCCGGTCCCTACCTTTGATATCGCTAACAAATGGTGAGCAGCAGGCGACGATAACGCGTTTTTATTCGCTATTAGGGAGCTTTCGTAGACCGCGTTTCCTCCTCCACTAAGCCCTCCGCAACGAAGAAGCCGCTACTGCGCCTGCGCGCTGATGGCTTTGACTGCGAGTTCCGGATATCGTAGCGGGTGGCGGAGGGTGTTGCGGGATGGCGAAAACCATCTACGAAAACTCCCTATTAACAGCGTTGAACTGCGTTTCATCGCAACGGTGTGTTCAAGCTTTAAGCAAGAGGTTCTCTGCATTGTTTAGCCGCCGCCTTCGCAACAAAACGCATCGCGCTCAAAAGCAAATGTGTGTATGGTCCTTAATCTCTACCGCTTTTAGCCTTTCTGGTTAGAACATGTTAATGTGAAGCGAAGTATTAGCAGGGAAGCGTGCTTTTAACGTGTTTTTAATTACGCGTTCTCGCGCAGTGGAAATGATACTTCAGGCGACACGATGCTTTTATCTCCAGAGACGCTCAGAGTAAGGATCTAACAAGGTGAGTTTAATGGAAAGTGCTACTTTTGTGGTACTACGCTAAGCAGTAAAGTTTGGTGCTCAATAATACACTGACGAAGTAAAATACGAAAAATCATCGATTTCTTGCTAGTGTTGTACCGCATTTTCTACCAATAATTCTAACCAGTAGCGGCACGAATAAATGTAATTGTTTCTAATTTGCACTTTAAGCTACTGATTCAATTTCAAGACAATTCCTTATACAATGAGTTGTACTAATTAATATTGTTTTCAATAAGATATATTAACTCTTTGCTTCCATTTTGAACAACCAAATGTGTTTATCACAAACTATCAAATTCAAAATTAATTTATTTTCAAAGTGTTTAGTTAGTTAAATATAGAGCACTATTTTACATAGGTACGTATTACTGTAAACAAGAAAAAATATTATATTCCATAATTATTTAGAGAATTTACAAAACAGAAAAATAAATAGTCCAGCAAAATAGTTAGCGGTAAGCGGGACACGTACTCCTTTTCCATAAAAAAAGCCATGCAATTTTAAGAAATAATAAGAAATGCTTAAATCCTCGTCTATACAATAAGTGAATAAAGATGCGCTCACCCAAACCCTTTCGTATATCATCTCCATTGTACAATTCAATGCTGGAAAAATAGCAAATGTGAGGCTCACGCATCTTGTAGACATAAAATAGTGTGCAGTCCCTTTCACTTACCCTGTTAGAAGGATGTTAATGTCAGGATTGTTCTTTTCCTCGAAATACGACAATAGTGCATCAATTGCTCCATCCATGTATTTATAGGGATAAGTTTTATCAAGGTTCAATGCAGCCTTCAGATTAGGCTCCTTATCCTAAGGGTTGTTCGTAAAAAACCGTCATTAAAGGCAGGCATCCAATGTTCTGGTATTTCTGTGTGAACAAACAAAACTCTCTTCTGCGAAATATGATTGACCTTCATCTAAAATAGTGGGCGTTAATGTAAAAGCGAATCTTTCCACTTTCCTTGTGTGATAGGGCATGCTGTATACTGGACAAGCCTTGCAAATGAGCAAATAAGATCAGCAGATTGTGAAGAAGAAAATTAACATATCTTAGACCTCTCAGGGATAAACGCCAGGCCATGGCGGTGGTCACTTTTCACACTACATATAACTTCGTTCGAAGACTATACGCGACGGCGAAATGGACTTCAGACAATGACCACTACCGCCGTAGTGCACGAAGCGCCTTCGTTTTTGTTTGCTCTCCTTTTTTCTCTTAGGTTTATGGCAGCTAAGCAATTAGTGTTGTGCCGTCGAAGTGCCATATATTCCCATAAAAGGGTGGGGGAGGTGCTTGTTACTGCAGTTCAAAAAGTAGTCAGCGGCTCGCGTTTCATATGACGTCGAACAAATTTCCTCTTTGCTGAAGATTATTAGAAGGCAATATCATAATTTTGGTTATGCAAGTCAAAGGTTACATTCTCTGTTTAACATTTCAATTGACTTTGAGCTAACAAGGTGAGTTCTTAATGTCCTTGTCGCTGAAAGCTCATTACTGCGTTTCTAAACGTAGAATTAAAAATACACTTTTAGTGTCACTCTAATCATGTCCGGCACACTCAAAGCATTCAACGTTAAGTACAGTATGTACAGCGAATTATGCATTATTTTATTTTCTTGCAGGATAAATAACATTAGCTCTTGGCCAAATATCTAAGTACACTTTTAGGGACGAGTTATGCAGTTTTTTAGCCGGCTGATAAAGGATCCACCAGGTTTCAAAACGTTTCCGGGCTTTCCGATCGCGAAATAGGATCCTAAACTAAGGGTAATATTGTTATGAACTTGATTACATGTATAATAATGGTGCAATTTATAACATGTTTATTCGGATAAGAAAGGTTGATATTTTTGAAGATAAAATAACTTGAGCTGCCTATTTACATATCTGAGTAATTAAGGGTTAGCTAACAATAAAATGCCTTACCAGGTCTTTTATTCGATATTGAATATTGATCCCATCGACAAGAAAATAACTTCTGAGGTCATCTCTTGCCTGGAAAAAGTATGCCATCAAGTGAACGTTACAAAAAAATGGTATACTTTTTTATGTAATACCTTGATTAGTGCACGATACAAGAAAATACCGCTAATGATAATATTTATATATTTTCTAGAACCAAACTTATATATTGAGGTTTTGGCAGTAGGCATGTTAGACGCTACATAGTTATAAAAGAATATTATAAGTAAATCGGCATAACTTTCTGAGGACTCGAGCATCTTTAGCTATATATCTCTTTCTCAGGATAACAGAAGTACATAGCTTGGCAGATAAATATAACAAATGATGTTGAACACCTATGTGCACGCAGAAGTGATTTCGTATTGTATAATAACGATGCACTCTGGTGCTGCGGCGCAACAACAAGGAACACTACGCAAAACTAAATAAATAATCAATATACCCCGGCAAATACATACCAACATTATAACTGATATACTGCCAACGCTTAAACTGGTGTGTTATGACGGAATACATGTTTTTAGCATTGAAATTGTTTTTGACAAGTTTGCAATCTCACATTTCGTGCATCATTACAAAGGCATTTGCTGTTTATGAACACAAACAATAAACAAATGAAATAATAAACTAATGATTGATTAAGAATGCAATTTATGAAGATATAAAATTAGATATTACGCTACATTGCTAGTGTAGCATTCCCGTGGATATAATTAGCGGACTATGATTTTTTAAAGGTCATATTTTATATAGGGAGGAATATCTACGGGTGTGGAGTTTAATTCCAATGTTCGTAATCATCCAAAAAAACCAATGCGATTGTGAAGCTTACGTCTTCTAATACGTTATCTACCGCTGTCTAACGTCGGCATAAAATCTCAAACCATCAGCGCAGTTGCTGCCAAATGGACAATGTGGATCAAGCTGCCTTGATGGAACAAACACCCACTGCCTGCTGTTGTAAAAATACTACTACAGCAAACTATGTTAATGTGGAGTATTAGAAGTCGTTTTATCAATGCTTGTGAAATAAAGGACGTTCACACTTTTTATATAGACATATCTATATACAGGGTGTTTCACGAAAGGTGGACAAATTCGATATTGCGAAAACTATTTATCGCACCGAAAAAGGCTTGTGTCATATTGGTCCTAGGCCACGGGTCTATTTAGGAAAATGATTAAAGTTCGGGATAATTAATTTGTTAATTATCTTCGCGCAATAATTTTTTCTTAATGTTATGTTTATGGGCATGGTTTCAATTAAAATCTTGCTGAGCATCATCGAAAAACACTAACTCAACAAATTGCATAACGATAAAAGACACACGCGGAATTTTACGGCTTTCTGAAGAACCGCACAACTTCGACGGGTTTTTAAGTTTCGATTTGCAATCAGAGCACTTTTCGGCACCGACGGCACCCTATCCCATGAGATATAGACGCTTTCAGCGCGCGCCAGATTGAGCCGCCATTGCCGACCTTCTCTTGTCTTACCGAGATGCCGAGTCACTAAAGCGGGCGTTGACGAGCCTCCACAAGGGCCTATGCTGGGGAGAAGGACACAGTAACATTTGAAATGGTAATAACCGGTCCTACTGTGGTAATGAGGAAGTGGGGCGAACGGAATAATAGGGACCAAAAACTGAAGGTCAGTTATGGCGGCGCCCATGCACAGCTGCCTGAAAGCGTCTATAGTACAAGCAGCCTCTGCTGCGTTGCGCGAGGACAGCGCAGCAGAGGTTGGTTGCACTTTTTCTCCACGAGGTGCGGTGTCGTCGGTGCCTAGAAGCGCTCCGATTACAAACCGAAACTAAAAGAACACGTCAAACTTGTGCGAATATCCCGCGTGCCTTCTATCGATATGCAATTTGTTGAGTTTGTGTTTTTCGATAATGCACAGTAATATTCTAATGGAAACCATGCCCTTAAACTCAATATCAAAAGAAAAAACTAGTTACGTGAAAATAATTAACAAATGAATTATTCGAACTTTAACAATTTTCCTAAATAGGCCCATGTCCTCGAACCAAAACGACACAATCCTGTTTTTGGTGCAATGCGTGGTTTTCGCAATATCGATTTTGTCCACCTTTCGTGAAACACCCTGCATATACATTGAAATACGAAGGTGCATTTGGATTTTTTTACTAGTCAGTGCGAAATATTTTATAAAGAGGAGATGAATGTATTGACCATTTTTAATAAAAATGAAGCATGTATGAGGTCACAACCTAGAGTGACCTATTAAGGAAGTGGGGATTGCCTCAAAAAACAGTTAGCCAACTTTTGTTTGTAGACTAATCACCCGCTGAAGTCCGTAGCCCGTGTTTTAGATGCATAAATAGACTCCTAGACTTCGTCTGGTTCATTGGGCCGTTTAAAAAAAATCGGGTTTGTGTGTGTGTTTATACAGCCTAGAACTTGGTCTGCCTCACAGGGGCGACGAGTCTCCCAGCTGTAGATGAGCAATTTAGCCAGTGCGGTACAGCCGCTAGCCTGGGGTCTTTAACGTGCATCACGCAGTAGTGATACACGACCGCACGCCGGTACGATGCTCATCCAGATCGAAACGGGCAGGGGTGGGGCTCGAGCCCAGGATCCCTGGGTTCTGCAGCGCGAGCTTTCGCTCCACGTGCCCCGAGCTGGTGTGCGCTAGACCACTCGGCCACCGATCCCCCCGTTGGGCCGTTTATTCACCGATGTTTGTTTGCAAACAAGCTCACTACCACCCCTATCGGCGGACCCCTGCGCGCTTCCGGTTTTCCTCTTCTTTTCCATTTGTCTCTCATCCTTTTGTTATTTGCACTACTTTGTACAATGCACTGATGTTCTTACAAACCTACTACAAAAACTTTTCTGAAGGAAACTCTTCTTACCCGACAGCTGTGCGTTGCTGAAGAATAAATAAATATATTACCGGAAGTGTACTGGGGCACCAAATACTGTGGCGCCCTCGTGGTATCAACTCCCACCGAATGTGGTGAATAAAACACGGAATCTGTCGGTGTGCACGCACGCGCGTGCACGTGCGCATTCTCTCGTCATCGTTTTCCTCCTGCATCCTACCGGGCTGACAGTGATGTAGTTGCTGCTTCAAGAAAGGAAAGCCGCTGCACAGTCTTGTTTGTTTCCCTCCCGTCTGGAAGGGATATTATGAAAACTCGCAGGACGCATTTTATGTTGAAAAATATGGCGGTGACTTTTGCTAGTTTTCATGTCAGCAGCCGCCCGGCGAGTCGTCTTTTACAAGAACATCCCCTAGTTGGTATCGTGGCAACGTTCTTTGAAGGCACGAAGGGTATATATATATATATATATATATATATATATATATATATATATTACATGGGTGGGCAGTATTTCAAATACAAGTATTTGAAATACGTATTTCAAATACTTTGTGTATTTTGCATTTGTACTTAATTACAAATTGGGTAATGTATTTGACGTGTGTATTTAAATACTAAAACATGGGTATTTCAAATACAATTGTAATGAAATACAATTTTGTGGGCGAAAATATATCCCTCAAATTTATTGTCACGACTCGTTTTGCTCGACCTAAGACGTGTCCAGAGCAGGAAGAAAACTACGTTCTGCACCAAATGCAGTGTCTCTCAATCAAGCACAAGCGTTTAGTGACTTTGTGATTACGGTGCTAGTCCAGGGCAAGAATAGTGACGAAATCGACGTTCGCAGGAAGACTGGCTGAATAAGTGCCTGTGACAACTTGTGATGCTTTCCAGCCTGATTTCCATTCATATTTTTGCCTGGAACATTCTAAATGCACGGGTCGTCCAGATTTTTGTAACTGGTGCGAGTTGCAACAATAAAAATTCCCTGGCTAGTGTTGCGCGTGTTGGTCATCTCGGTTCTTTGTTGGTCTATACCAAAATGTAATCGACAAAAAAAGCTGCTTGAAGCTCTGTACTTTTTTCACCTATTACGTCCAAGCTGATTACATTTTTTTGTGATTATATTTCTATTACGTTACTAGAGCCTCGCACACTAACTCCCGAGTGTGCGATGGAAAATTAAAATGAGATACCCAGAAACTCGTTGCAGGTGCCCTGAAGTCGCTAACGCAAATTTTCAGGAATGCATTTGGAAAAGTATTTGGAGGAGACCAAATACATTTGGTTGTATTTGTATCTTGTACTTAAATGCTTTTTTTAAAATGTAATTAGATTTGTAATTAAATACATTTTTGACGAAGCATTTTGTATTTGTATTTCGATACATATTTGCAGGTATTTTGCCCATCCCTGTATATATATATATCTTCGCTCTCGGGTGCGAGATGGGGAGGCGGGCGGTGAGAAAAATAAAAATAAGGAAAATGGAAGAAAAGAAAAGGGGGGGGGCATGCTTGCACGTGAGTGTGTGGGTGTGTGTGTGTGTGGGGGGGGGGGGTGGAGAGGGGTGTTTGGGTGCGTAACTTGAACTATCGAGCGTCTCGGTTCGCGCCCGAGCTGCTCCTGTGTCTCTGCTGGCTCTTCTCGGCCACCCGGGCGCGCTTTTGGGCCCACTTGATTTTGTTTTATTCCCTTGTTTCGTTCTGGTCACTGCCGAGCCCCAACGGCGCCTAGCGGGAGGTTGTTTGGGGATGCATGCGGGGCCCCTTCCCTGGCCGCGGCCTTCGTCTACCCATGGTCGGTCCTGAGAAGTTGTTTTTTCGCCTTTCAATGTGTTTTCTTTTTGTTTTGTTTTTTGCCGTCGTGCCAATGTGGCGGGTTTCCAGCTTTCACTGCAACATTAGGACCTGATGAAGAGCGGTCCCCGCTCGGAACGTCGTCCAATAAATACGTTTTAAAGCATTTACCTCCTTTTTACGATATATATATATATATATATATATGTGTGAAGTAAGGTAAATATAAAAGAATGAACCGGTAAAAGTTAATAAGTCAAAGCTGCGTACTGTCGGAGTTACTAATACGAAGTTTCTGACGACGTTTCGAGCAGGGACCGCTCTTCATCAGCTAACGAGTGTATTCACGGGCTGTACACTCGTTACCTGATGAAGAGCGGTCCCCGCTCAAAACGTCGTAATATACTTTGTATTAGTAACTCCGACAGTACGCAACTTTGACTTATATATATTAATATATAAATATATATATCCGTTCTTCTTGTGCTTCTTGAACTCTTTCCTAGACTTCATCTGTTTGAATGTCTTGTTTGTCGATGAGTGAACTTGGCTCTTCCAGTGCATGCGTTTGTACTGCACACTCTGGGATCGAAAATCATTGCTCACAATGTTTTAGTGCAGTTAAGGCGCTGCTGGATGTAATATGGCAGCTTGCAAATGTCGGATCTCACGTCCTCCTAGAGAGAGGTTTCTGAAGGACGAGACGATCTGTGACACGAATCGATCATCTTGCTTTTGAGTGAGTGTGCAGACAATACGGGTACCATCATACTAAGTTCCTTAAACCATCAAGCCAAAAATGATTTCTATGACTTTGAGCTCTTCTCTCAAGCATTGATTTCATCCCATTGCGACCTGCAAGTAGACGCCTGAAGATATTAGGACACCAATATCGCCTGTTCCGGTTTCAGCAGGAAAAACATACCCTAACAGATTGTCATCAAGTTGCAGGTATGAGATCGCGCGCAGGTCAGGGATTTTCAGATATTCAAATGATAGCTTCTGATTGCTCTCTTGGCTCCGAGTGGGGACGATTACGCGTCGAAATTGGTGCTTGGAAGCAATGTTTCCAAGCGTTAAGATGATTAGATCCTCTTTGCCAACGACTTCACAACCAAGTTTTTTTCTTGGTAGAAGAGCGTGTTGGTTTAAGTCAAGGATAAAGAAAGAATAAACAATTAAAACAGGGACAACACAACCACATCTTTTATTCTTTCTTCATCCAAGTTTTTTTAGAAGCATTATGTTTTATAGATGAACGCTGACTGCTACTGCCCATAATTGTTCTCACGTAAGGCTCTTTGGTCGTATCCCTAAGGTCCAGCTTGTCTGCAGCTTGTACCGCCTAAGGTCCGCAATCTTCAAGGATGCATCATTTCCGACGTGGCAGAGTGGAAATGAGATAAGTGATAAAGAATCATCAAGTGGTGACTTAGCACCTATCACTGGTCAATATCTTGCATGAACGGCAAACACGTGTAATGTGGTTTTGCTCGCCGCATTTAAAGCAAAAAACCCGCTCGTAAAAACTTGGCTCGTTTCTTTTGAGTAGAAAGGTTAGCTAGCCAGTTCTGTATCATGTGTTGGATGGCGTCACAAAAGGGGCACACTGTTGGCCGGTGTCATGCTGACATAGTTGACAGTGCAAGTGTTGAAAGGTTGGTTGCTGGGGAGACTTCTTGAAGTCTCATCGGCGGTAATCCACGTCGTAGAGTGTTGCTTGCATGATCAATGTAGCCATCCTTACAAATTTATATTTCTATCCGAGAAACGCCATGATGACGGCAGCCTGCTTTTCTCGTCGCAAGGTAGGCGTATCTGCTGAGGATGCCGCTGCAGCCTCTTTTAACTTTTGGCGGTATAGGATGGCCAGCTCACGGGGAAGGCAGCGCATGAGGATGAGATGCAGAACGACAGCAAAGTTGGTAGGTGGGATATTCAACACTTCTCGGAACGTGACTTGGAAACGCAATGCGTCGTATAGTTTGTGCAGCTGTACTGCGTTGCTCGCGCTGTTGATCATCGTTAGACTTAGAAGGTTGCCATTCGATTAAGATGTGACGTTGTCTAAATTGGACAGGAACTGCCCGTACTCCAAGATTATAGTTCAATTGAGACAGTAGGATTCCCTCCACAGCTCGTTTGGCGTCAGATGCAAGGTACGTAATAAGGTATTTAAACGTCTCGATTCGCGGGAGATCAGAATTTACGTAAATGGTTAAGTTTAAAAAATCCCGAAAGCGAACGTTACCTGCAAAAGTTGGCATCTGGAGAGTGGGGAGGACGACTGCTCGAATACGTTTTGGGGCAGGTGTTGGAGGAGCGTTCCTCGTTATTGTCATTGTAGAAAGAAGGTTGCAGGCCTGGAGGTTGTTGAGACGAGATTTCGTCGCGGCCATGACAATGTTCAAGAGTTGCGGTAGGTTGCCTCAAGACTGCAGGGAATATTGAACTGCTGCACTGATACTGTGGCTGAAAACTGAGTGCTGAGAAGTGATATATTGATGTACTCAGTACTGAGTACCGGGCAAGGAGTAATGAAACTGTCCCGTGTATTGATGCTGTGGCAAATTCCTACAGGATAATCCTCCGATCCTTCCAGTTCGTCTTTCAGTTCGTTGTCCACGTCGTCGTTGATGGTTAGTGCTAAGAGTTCGTGGTAGGGAACGACCAGACGTGGTTTTTTCTGGATGAGGAAGCCCAACGGAAGCCGAAACTCCAGCTCTGGGGTGCCCACGTAGTGGAGAAAAACGTCTATGCTTGTGAGCGTTTCGGGTCACCGTGGCGCGGGTAACGGCTGGGGTCCTGCAAAGGCGGTCAATCTTGATGGCCTCGAAGGGTTTCGGTACCAAAATTTTGGGACTGTGGAGACTGGCGCGAGATGTCGTCTGGTTCGTAAGGCCGTTTATAGGACACTGACTTTGTTGGTGTGCACGCGCCCGCGTTCACGTGCGCATTCTCTCGTTGTCCTCATACTACAGTATGGGAAATAAGGCATTCAATAATCTACCAGTGAATTGTCTTGTATAATGAGTGAATAATATAAACATTTTTGAGAGTGGCAGTTCAAGTAGGGTGTTCCTTTTCAAACCGAACACGTGTGTCGTGTTCTGGCTCATAAAATATATGCCTCATATAAATATATCAAACGCCCCCCCCCCCCCCCTCCGTAATGAACAAAACGGCTTTAAAAAAAGAGAAAATGTTTATTTCTACAAAGTATATACGTGGAGGACGGCGAAATAGAACGTTTTGGCTGCTTGATTGGTTCTGTCTGTTTTTATGAATACATAAAAACGAAAACGCTTCCAATCATATTTTAAAAATGTATACTGCAAGGCTAATTTATTTGGCCGCGCAGTATACGGAAAAAAGGATAACAGGACAAAACATCTTTATTGTGTTCTCGTCGTATACGTCGTTCATGTTGCTCGTTTATATCCCCGTAACCTTAGCAGTATACTCTTATTTGTCGAGAATAAACTATGTTGCCACATTAGATAAAAAAATAAAACAAACCCAAACATCGTACTTTTGACAATTTGGTGACATATTTTTTAGACTTGAACCTTAAACTTAATCGCAGAGGTTGTTTACTAAATACTATACACGTGTAGTCCTATACATGTGCTATGAAGTCGTAGCATTTTAGTCTAATTTATTTGTATAAATTACTTGTACTCATTTTAGGCCTTGTTGCACGTAGCGATATTTGTTAATCTTTGTGGCCAATATTAATCTACTAATCTTACATTATGCGGTGCTCTCCAGCTCTCTAGCTCACCACCGCACTACTGTTTGACATTGGCGAAGGGACACAGCCTAGCAACTATTGTTTCAAATCCGTGTCACTTCAGAATTAGCCAGCCTCCAGCAAGTTTGAAAGTTTAGGCGCCTGACGATCGCCGAGCATGGTTTTGCTACCTATCACTATTATGGCGCGAAGTTCGAATCAATGAATCACTTCGTATGCGTAACATGCTTGGTTGTCACAAGAGCATGACATATCTAAGTGCCATGTCGTAAGCTGCATTTTGATGAGCTTGTTCATATATATTGTCTTGTTTTAATGTGCTCTACGTTTCAACTAGTACTAATATATTACTTTAAAAGTTTTAGGTTTACACCAATCTGTTATTGCATTTCTTTTTGCTTTCTTATTTTTGTAAAACATTAGCACTGCAGCTGATAAAAACGTGTGTGTTCTAAAGGGTACACAGAAAACCCGTTTGCTTTGAAGGGTACAATAAATGAATGAATGAATAATTCGCGGGTCAAGAATTTTACGTGATATTGAAGAAACTAGTCGCTTTCGCGCAGCTGGCTAACTGATAATCTATTTATAAAAAGGAACTCTGAAACCATTCAGTCGCTCAAGCGGTCATAGTCCCTTCCATGTTCCGGTGACAGAAATGAGGAAATTTTGTCCAGATGTTGCATTGTGAAACAAGGGAACACTTTACTGATTTAGGTTGCACGAAATAAAGTTTTAAATGTTTAACGATTGAGTTTTTATACAAAATGTGGTCGAGCCATCGCGAGAAACATTGCACGCTTCATAGAGGTTAGCACACAATAGCCTTTTTGAAAGTGCACGAAAAGTGAGTTTGCTAAAAAAAACATAAGAATTGCGATCAGTATTTAATTTTCCAAACAATTTTCGCGCATACGATCGAAAAATAGAGGGTATATCTTTCTCGTATTGACCATCTCAAAACAACTTACTTAGAAAAGTGAGGGGTATGAAGTAGGGAAAATGCAGTTCGTATGGTTAAAATATATACTTACCTGCCAAGTGACAGTTTGCAAATATGTCTTTATCTTGTTTTCAGTCACATTGAGAGATTCATCTATATAAAAATCTATAGTAATAGTAGGAGTTCCTGAAATATTTAAAGTATGGCAGTTACCTAAATGTGGAGTATTAAATCATCGCTCTTGGCAAATAAGTTCAAGAAAATATATGAAGGCATTTAAATGCAATAATATACTAAAGTATAGTTATACTAAGCTTTGGTATATTCATTCTATAGGACCAAATGTATTTATATTCATTCTATAATCTAACAACGAAAATAGCAATAATAATTACACATTAGACGACTACTACTGCCACTATTACTACCACTACTACTACTAATTATTATTAGTAGTAGTAGCAGTAGAAGAAGTAGTAGTAGTGGTAGTATTAGTAGTAGCAGTAATAGTAGTAGCGGCAGTAGTAGTAGTAGTAGTAGTGGTAGCGGGAGTAGTAGTGGTAGTAGCAGTGGTACTAGTAGTAGTAATAGTAGTAGTAGTTGTAGTAGTAGTAGTACTGGTAGTAGTAGTAGTACTGATAGCGGCAGTAGTTCTGGTGGTAGTAGCAGTAGTAGTAGCGGTAGTAGTCGCGGTAGCGGTCGTAGCAGCAGTATAGTAGTAGTAGTCGTAGTAGTAGTAATAGTAGGGGTGGTAGCGATAGTAGAAGTAGTAGTGGTAGCGGTAGTAGTAGTGGTAGCTGTAGTAGTAGTTGTTGTAGCTGTAGTAGTAGTAGCAATAGCAGTGGTAGTAGTAGTAGCTGTGGTAGCGGTAGTAGTAGTAGTGGTAGTAGTGGCGGTAGCGGTAGTAATAGCAGTAGTAGTGGTAGCCGTAGTTAGTAGGAGTAGCAGTACCACTGGTAGTGGTAGCAATAGTAGTAGTGGTAGTTGTAGTAGTAGCAGTAGCAGTTGTAGTAGAAGTGGTAGCGGTATCGGTAGAAGTAGTAGTAGTAGTAGCAGTAGTTCATTGCCAGACATCGTGATAAAAATGCCGTGTATTACGTGCGTGTTCGCCGTGTATAGCGAACCCATTGAGCCCAAACAACGGCGCATGCAACCCGAGACACTAGGGAGTTGTAGTAGATCGTTTTTCTCCTCCGCTACTGTATCCCCGAAGAAAACGCCGCAGCTGCGCATGCGTGCCGCCAGCCTTGTCTGCATAGTTCAAGGTCTTGTGGCGGATTACGGAGCGCTATCCGGGTGCTTAGCGGGCTGCGGGAACGGTCTACTACAACTCCCTACTGGGAGGAGTGAGCCGGGCAGCGGGCCACGGAGAAGCACGGGACACCTGGAAGCGACAGACTAGGCGCGGTCGCAGACCAGAGAAGACGCTTCTCGTAACACCACCCTTTTTATCCATTCAGTCGCAGGTTTAGAAATTGTAGCTCTTCCGGGGATAGATCCTCCTTTTTTTTAAATTCTAGTTTGCCTCCTGCGCTTCCGAACGAGGCCACAATCACCTCGACTTTATTGGCTAGAAGGGGAATAATGAAGTAGTAAATGAGAAAAACGTGGCTGTCCTGTGCTTGTCCTTCGTGTTTCATTCTTTCAATTTTAAGTATTCATGTTAAACTCTCTCGCTTTTACCAGTCCAGGGTGTAAGAGACACATCATAGTTTTTAGAGGCCTGTGGGTTCTTTCCCTATTCTTTCCGTGAAATCACAACACCCATCAACATTGGTTAAACGGATGTGTGGGAGAGATCACGTGATCCTTCACGATATATGCGTCGGGGAAGCCACTTAAACATTTTTTATTGGACAACCTCAACAAGTCTTGGAAAATACGACGTTCCCCCGTCCCTATCAGGCCGCGGTTTTGGCCAACGGGGCCCCATCGCTGTGTCTGCGTGATCTGTATACGTCTTTCACGGGCTCAAGGACGCAAACTCATCGCTCATGAGGAAGAGAGAGTGTGTGGATAAAAAGGGTGGTGTTATGACGTGTCTCTTACACCCTGGACTGGTAAAAGCGAGAGAGCTTAACATGAATACTTAAAATTGAAAGAATAAAACACGGAGAACAAGCACAGGACAGCCACGTTTTTTTCACTTACTACTTCATTATTCCCCTTCTAGCCAAATAAGTCCAGGTGATTGTGGCTTCGTTCGGAAGCGCAGGAGGCAAACTGATATTCAAGAAAGGAGGATCTATCCCGGAAGAGCTACAATTTCTAAACCTGCAACTAAAAAACAAAAAGAAAAAAAAAAAAAAAGAAACGGAGGCGTTTGTTGTGCGCTTTGGCAGCGTTCAGAAAAGCCAGTGCTCCCTTTTGAGAGTGCTTATTCAAAGTCAGTTATTAGAGTGCTTATTCAAAGTCAGTTAACATAGGTATCATCAAGACGTTAATCACATCAGCTAAAACGAAATCCAGTCAACATTCGGCAACGGATAGCATAAAGAGCCAAACTCGACGACTCCCGAGTTCCGAATATCTGGTGGAACGCCTTGTGTCCATTTTCCCCCAGCATATTAACCCCAAAGTAACTACTAAAGCGCCTTTCAGTCGAAGGATAGCCAGCATGTCATACATTTATAATGCTTTCCATCGTATTCGATTCATTGCTTCACGCTATGACACGAAAGTTGTCTTCTCCAGTAGATTCAAATTGGCAAGCATGGGCAACATGATCAACCCAAAAGAGGAAGCCATTCCAGCTTGCGAAGAAAGCACGCCACGCTTTTCCAGGCTTGCTGCACAGAAAAGGTGTACTCCATCCCCCTCAAACGCGGAGCGAGTATATAAGACAAACCGGCGGATGTATAAATGACCGCTTGCGTGAATACAAAAATGAAGCCACTTCAGGACCAGATAACCCCATTCATCCGATCGCGGTTCACGCGAACGAATGCATTGGATGCGCGCCTGACTTCGCTGGAACTAAGACAAAGGGAGAACACTACAATTGCTACGGACGTGAGTTCATCGAATTCTTCCTCATCCAGAACGCAGAAATCAACGTTTCATGGGCCTCAGTAGCCTTGTCAAGACGGGAAGAGAACTCAACAGGCCTGAACTTCAAGAATATCGCAACTCCCCGTAAAAATCACGCCATCACTGTAGGTGTGCCCGTGCCTCGTGGTTTCTTCCTCCCCCCTTCCGTCCCCCAGTTATCTTTCCCCCATATCACCCTATCTTAGTTGGAATCTCGTTCAGGGTGCAATTTTTCCTGCCGATAATAAACACAAGTTGCTAAATGAAAGAACGTGGTCGTCCTGTGCTTGTCCTCCGTGTTTTAGTCTTTCAATTTTAAGTACTCTTACACCCTTTTAGGATTTATTGACGAGCACGTCAGTTCCATTGGAGAAATCTGCCAAATATTTCACACCCCTCAAACATTCTTAAACGGTAGTAAAACATTTTGGAAATTCATGAGGCCACATAGACGGCTTTTTCATAGGAAAGTCCCGTTCCGAATCTTTTTCGCGAAGAATCAAGAAATGTAGCTGTAATCAACAAACTCAAGGGACTCTATAGGTGAACAGAGTGCCGTTTGGAATAAACCCGGCATCAGCTATCTTCTGACGTGTCGTCGAAAAACTCGTTGGAAAATTGCCTTAGACAGGTACATTTCAGGATGATATTGTAGTAACTGGAAAGAACGATGAACATCACTTGCGGAACCTGGACATGGTACTGCAGAAACTTAAGAGATGTGGCCCTCGCCTGGAAAACAAGAAATGCTACTTCATGCTGGACTCCATCGAGTATTCAGGACATGTCGTAGACAAGGAAGTGATCCATCCAAATGCCGAGAAGGCGGATTCGATCCTAAAAGCGAAGACGCCAAAATACAAAAAAAAAAAAAGGACTTGGAGCATTTCTGGGACTACTAAACCACTACGGAAAATGAATCAGCAACACAGCCGACATCCCACGTCCGCCACACGAGCTGCTGCTAAAAGGTACAAGGTGGAAATGGTCGAGATCATGCCAGAGAACCCTCAACGAAGCGAAGAAGAAACTCACCAAGCAAATTCTTCTACTGTACTATGACCCTGCACTTTCTCTGGAACTGCACTGTGATGCATCGAGCCATGAAATCCGTGCTATACTTCAACGCGTACTACCCAACAAGCAACGGAGGCCGATTGCCTTCATGTCAAGACCGCTCTCCAGAGGTGAGCGAAACTGCTCTCAGATAGATAAAGAAGCACTGATTCTGGTTGAAGGCGTAGTGGAATCTCACCAGTATTTGTTTTCGCGTCACTTAACACTGCGGACGGACCACAAACTTTTGTTATCTATTTTCAATCCCAGTAAGGAAATCCCAGGCACGGTTGCTGCAAGAATGCAACGATGGGCGATCATCTTGTGAGGGTATGTCTTTGACATAAGGTGTGTCTAAACCGATGATGACATAGTCGCAGACATGCTGTCAAGACTCCCAATGACGGGCATGGCGCTGCGCGCCCTTAACCTTGTACACCTAGGACAACCAGACCTGCAGTGCTTTGGTGTTTTTTTTATTTTTCGGTTGCTTTACAAAATACAGTCATACTTCAACAAAAGATCGTCAATAGGTTATTGAATTGTCTTGACTTTCCTGCAGGCATTGAACTGCCGGCGTAAGTAAGTCATACTACTACTACTTCTACTACTACTACTACTACTACTACTACTACTACTACTACTACTACTACTACTACTACTACTACTACTACTACTACTACTACTACTACTACTACTACTACTACTAATAATAATAATAATAATAACATTTTTATTGCACATGTTTCATATCAGTACATAAGAACGCGGGCCCGTCGAAAGCCAAAAAACAGCGTGTGGGACTGGGCCCGACAGCGGTATAACCTAGAATATTCAAAAACTACATACACGGAGTGAAAAAGTAACATCGGCGATAAAAGATATACTTTCGGTAGAAGCATATCTACACAAAGCAAAAAGTGAAGAGATTAGAAAAGCAAAAAGATCATATGCTACCCCCCCCCCCCCCCAAAAAAAAAAAAAAATATTGGAAGGAAAAAATATTTATAGGAAGAAAAATATTCACGCGTTGCGGCAACAGTTACGTATAGATGTTACAAAAAACACCCAAAATCCGCAACTCAACGTCGCAGGTAGCTGGTCCCGAAACAATTTATAACAAGATGTGCGCCCAGTTTAAAAGACTGGAAACAAGATACAAAACAAGTAAAATGAAATAACACTAGGTAATCTTGCCTCAACAAAATGTTTTAGAAGCTTTTTCAGCTGTCTTTTTGCACTTATATCGTTAAACGCGCCAGGCAAGCCATTAAATATTTCTGGGACATTAACGAGCGGTGCATTTTTCCATATTTCATACAAGCGCTTGGCAGAATAAAACGCTCACTTTCAAGCAAAAAGTGGGAAAGGACGCGAGGGACTAGAAGCTGCTGCGCCAGGCGGGACGAGTGGGGCCGCCACAGGGGGCCAGGGCCTATATAAGGCGGGCTCCCTGGAGAACGGGACAGTCGTCGGTTGGAGGCTGACCAGCACACCAAGGCAACAGAGTTTTTTTTTAGCGAGGATAGATCCCTATTCTACCAGTGTGGCAGACGCGTCCCCGCCATTCCTGTTGCTAGGCCTATGCCTTCTTTGTCTTCCGAGTCTACTACAGCCGACTTGTCCACCAACAATGGCGGCCAGGACTCGAACGATATCCCAACTCTACTTGGCCAGCACGCTGCGCGGCTGCAGGTGGCACTTCAGGATGATCGGGCAAGAGCATAGCGAGATCTCAGGCAGCTACTTCATGAAAGTCGCATACTCGGCCACGTCAATGGAGCGGTTCCGGCCGCCCGGCCCATTAATAATATTTATATAATTATTATTAATAATTAATAATAAGATTAATATTTATTATTAATAATACTAATTAAGAATAATAATAAATAATAATAATACATTTTGGTCTGGACAAATCGTCGGAGGCTTGTGGGATAAGACACAGTATTTGATGTAGCAGACTGGATACGCGTACGGAGTCACATCACGTGCACAGAGAAAAAAATATTAATATTATTAATTAATATTTGCATTATAAAATAATGTTTTTTTTTTTTTTTTTTTTTTTTTTAATTCGTACAAAACATCTGGCCCACGAAAGCAATAAATGCTCCCTTGGTTAGACCATGGACCTTAAAACGGCTTTCTTCTCAGTTTTTCCAGTATCACGCCTAGACTTGGTTCGACAGAAAGACCTTACACCTAAAAAAGAAAAACGCAGTTTTTCTAAACTGTTTTGTTTTTACGTGTGTTTTCTTCAAGAATGCGTAATAGCGTCGAATATCCCTCAAGTGTATGAAACTCTATCGGAGTGACTAATTCAAGTGTAGTTGAGCATGTTCAACATGAACTTATTCGTGTACTGTTTGATAGTTATTTTCAACCGCATTATTTCTACAGTTACAAAATGATTTGTGACCTCGTGAAATAGGACAAGTTGCTCAACAAGAGAACAATCTGAGGATTGAGGTTTTTTTATAAGTTTGCAAATGGTATAATTGATTCACCAGCTCTACTAACTCGCGTCTACTGGGGCGTTCCTCGTAGGTTTAGTTGACTTTACTCTTTGTATTATCCTCCCGATTTATATCACGCAGCACCCATGACATGCCTTCAATTGACGTATAATCATTTAGAAGGTTATGGTGGGAATGTTATTCTATAAATTTTCGACAAAGACTGTAAACTTAGAAAGTATGTTGCTACCATTGTTTTATCTTAACTTTTAATTTTTTATTGTGCCCGAGCAATAATACGGTCTGACATTGGTAAGTGCATCACTAAGGAGGCGCCGCGTTGTTTACGGGTAACTTTAGAAAGATAAAATATATAAATGAATAAATAAAGTTTTGTTGCGTTATGTTCAATGGAGGAAGAGTGGTTATGTTCTCAAGGAGCTGATAAAACAACATGTTTCTATAGCACTTATAAAAAAAAAAGAAAGAAAAAAGAAACGACATACCTTCGTCCTTTTCCTGTCTTGAACTTAGACGAACTTTGGGCCAACATTCCACACCAGCATACATCAAGCAGAGCCAGAGGCATATTGTCCCACGTAGTGTATTCATCGGAAACCTGTTGTAGCTCGAAATCTAATCCCTCGTCAGGACGAAGGAGTTGGATATAAAAAAAAAGACTACGTGTTTTGTGCTTTTTTTTGAGAAATATTGGCGGCGATAAATTATTTTGCTTATGAGAGGAAAATGGTCCCGCCTTTTTATTGCGCTTTATTTGTGACGCCATGATGACATTTGGAAACTGCTTTGCTGGACAATGCATAGTGACTGCCACAAACATATTGTATCGCGAAAAGTTTCCATCCTCTTTAGTTCCGGCTCCCATTCAATTCACGCGGATGTTGGAATTTTGTAATGGTTATATTTTACGCTAAGCTTTTTTGACCTTTTCGCTAAACACGTGCAAGAAAAATGTTACTTTCGTTGACCAGCAATATATTGTGCACTGTTTCCTTGGCAAACAAATATGTACATATGTATGCATTATGAGTATTACGAATCGCGTCATTCTGTTTCCCCGACGTATTTAGCTAATCTGACGTCTTTCATGCTACCAAAGGATCTCGCGCGCTTTGGAAAACCGCTTTAAGAAGAACTGAACCCTAAAAAATTGAGTTAGAAGTTTTCTACGACTTTGGTTTTATACAATTGCCAATACATCACTAGAATTAGACATAATAAGGCATACAGCAAATTTATTTTTAAAATACGCGTAGAAATTGTTGCAGGGCCCGGCATGCGCGAAATCTCGCTGCCATTTGTTATTTGTCACAAGAGTCATATCGTCATCACTGGTGTCTCCATCGCAGCTTTAAACTACTTTGTTACAGGAAAGGTGTTATCTTTAAACGAGCCTTCTACCGGACAAAAAAGAAATAACAGAACCAAAGATAAATAACCAATTACATCAAACACTAATCCCGAGTTTGCAAAAATATATGGACAGGATTTACAAACCTTAGCTCTTTATCACATCGGCGTTAGGTAAGGACAGGATTGCCAGAACATGAGCGAGTTTCAAAAAGCAGTAATTGAACTCGGGTGCATATCCCTTCACCAGTGTATGTAGCTGAAGTTTTCGTCGGTAGGGATAAAAAAATGTTTCGGAGGATGGAAAAGTATTGAAAATGGGCGTACATCGATTAATTTACGAACTTGTAATGACAGAAAAAAACTGGTCTCAACACTTCTAGACAATACATTTTTAGTACACAAAACTGCCTTGTGCGTCGATGATTCAATAAATTGTCGCACATCGGTGGCAAACGAATTTGTTGAAAAGCGATGTAATCGACTTTTAAATATAAGGCGAGGGAGAGAGGTTACAAAACATACTAAAGTGACATGAGTCCCAAAACCGTTTGATGGTCAGAAATGTAATTGCACATGGAGGTTTTGGAGAATATTTAACTCGTTTATAAATTATGTTATGGCAACGACGCGGCGGCATCTTTTTTTTAATGCGCGCACCACATTAAGATTTTGAGTGCGACCCGTTACTTTGCGCAAATATGTTAGATTTGTTGATTTTGTAGTGATCGGTTTTGCAGCACTAGAGAAAGGCGGTTATCTCAGACTCGATGAGGCAGAACATTCTAGCTCGTCTGGGTTACATCTGACTGCATGGACGCGATCACAAAACAAGTGTTACCGAAAGGGCCGCTGCCGGCGTTTGTGGTGATTGAAACCATGCCCAGCTTTTCGATTGGTTCTTCTCGTTGCTGAAGACATTTCGACATAGGAATAGCCTACCCTGGCTGTCATTGGCAAATCGCGAAACAGGAACTTGCTTAAGTTATACTTAATCCAAGCACGCTCTCTGCATGTTGGTGACTTTCTGATCCCGAAATGCTCTTACGGTTGCCCAGATTCAGCGTTGTAATATTCAGTTCGATGCCAAAGTCGAAACTTCGTATTTTTTGGTTTTTCCCCCTTTCTCCACCATATCAAAACGTGATGTCACCGGCGGTAAGCATGGTGCACGGCTGGCACTAAGGTATCGCTCGCGTTTTACAACCACAAAACAGGAGCGTTCGTGTGATCTTAAGTCAAAAATTTGTATTTGTACAGATTTTGACCTTTGCCAACGTACTGAACTATAACAACAAACAGAAGCAACTTGTTTTTGAGGAAACCGTTCGCGCAACTTGGTACATCCGGTCACAGCTGGCTAGTCCTGTAAGAATAGCTGTCCATTTACATTCTCCTCCCTGCACACGCAAGCAATAAAGCTGCAAAGAAAGGTCAAAGAGTCTCGTAATACACGTTTCGTCAAATTACCCAGACATCAAGGAGAGTGGCTGGAATGCGGTACAGTTGGTCACGCTCGCCCTACCTGAGTGCACGCGCCATTTGTTTTATATTTGGTTGAGAAAAGGTAAAGTCGCAAACGCCAGCACATGTAATTATACTTGCAGCGTGCTTCTTCGTGTGTGGATAATTTAGAAAAACGTCTACGGTCAATTCCAGAAAAGCGGTTCTGGTTGGTGCCATTTTCAGGGCTCGTGCATGTTGCGCGTGCTCTGCTCGACTTCTGAAGCGACGAACATGCACGTGCTGGGCTGTGAGCTGACAGCTGTGGGCTGTACCTTTCATAGACATTGACATTATGTATACTGAACTCAGGCGCATATCCCTTCACCAATCTATTTAGTTGAATTTTTCGTCGGCTGTGAAAGCTAATTTTTCGGAGAAAGAAAAGGTATTAGAATACTCCTTTACACTGGGCGCCATATTTGAGGGCAATGTTTAGAGCCATGCTCAGAAAGGGCTCAGATTAATAGCCTGCTAAGACCAGCAATCTTGATGGTGCGGAATGCATGTTGCAAAAAAACTGCGAAAGTTTGCCGTCAGCACACCCTCAGTAGCAGCGCACACAGCTAGGGCTTCCAATTAGTGCTGGACCATTGATCGATTAACCAACCAATTAATCAATTATTGGAATAATTGCGATTAATTGTTTTAACTGATTAATCGGTAAATTTTTAACGAACCAAAATAGTAAAAACAAAGCGGTTTCACCGTGCAGATGTGGACGGGAACACCTGAATGATGAGCAAACCTTAAGTCAACATTTAGCCTAAAGTAAACTGTAGGGGCAAGATTTGTAACTCCCGAGAAATGCAGAAGGTTACACGTGTACTTCAACGCCGCTCGAGTGTCTGTTTATCACAGCAGAGACTAGTGTGAGCAATCAAAGGAGGTCGCTCTTGCCAGATTATATCAACAAAGTTCTTTGCCTCGATGCAGCTGAAGTGTAATAATCTCTGTGTGGGAGTGCCTTTGAACTGTTCTTAACTACACATCAAGGTTAGTCCATAATAAAAATAGTACATTCCGCCCTTTAGGTTACCTTATGTTCAGCAAATGCATAAACAAAAAATATTAACTTTGACTTTAAAAAAATGTTATGCATGGAAATTAATGAGTCCAATTAATCGATTGATTAAAGGGTGTCGATTAATCGAGTTAAACTTTTTAATCGACGCCCAGCGCTACCTCCAATGAATACTCCTTATAGAGTGGGATGAACCAGATTTATCGAAGTCAGAATGTGGGCAGAGCTTCTTTTGATGAAGATTGTGCAGGTCTAAACATTAAAAGAACTCCGCAACTCCCAAGCCAAGCATAATCAAAATGCAAGGAAAATAAGTAAACACACTATCGAATGTTCTAACTAAGAATAATTTCTTAAAGATGCATTGTCCAAACTATAAAATTAATTTATAAAGTGTTCGAATTCAATACACAAAAATTTCATCCAGAAAAAAATTCGAGGCAATATTTGTTTTTAAAATTACTTATTTATGAGCGTAGAAATGAAAAGGAAGTATAATTCTGATATTTAGGTATAAAGGATTTTTCGTTTTAATTAGTTCTGGTTTTGCACAATCTCCACAAGAGGTAAATTTACACGCCTCTCTCAACAACCTATATATCTGTTAGTGTTTTGCTATATATTGAAGCCTGTTTAAGATTTCTCCGATAAGGAATAATATAAAGATATTTAACCAACTTTCCGCGCGTAAACCATTTGACAAACATACGTATATTGAAGCAAATACAAAGATTCTTTAAAAATGAGAAATACCAGGCACAAACAGCAGTGTATTAAAAACATACCTAAGATCATTTAAACGAACTTCGTTTACACGATTCAATTCTCACCTCCGACAGACCGGCATTGCCACGTGATCGGAACGAACACCAGCCTTAGCTGGCTGCGGTGAACCCGCTGGCCGAAGCTTTGTGGATGACCACCTCTACAAAAGTGTTTGACATATAATGTGTGAACTGAAACCAACATGAGGAAGAGATGTAACTGGAAATGTCAAAAAGTGGATGGATAAGGACTTTCCGCGATTTTATAAGTGCTCCTTTTTGGACGGGTATTTGTTACACAGTGGGCGCGATTCTGCGATTGCCACCCTTGAAACTGTTACAATTTCTAAGAGATACTTCCCAACTCGCGTATCTTCAGTAATCCTAGCACAGACGGTAATGTTTCTGGGGACGTTGGTCCTCTCGGCGCACGGCTCGCGCTAGAGCACTTTGACGTATGTCACAGCCACTGCTATTGGAACGGGTCTCAAAGAAATGCTATCGTTTAAAAAACCGTGTTCAGTTATTATCATTAAAAATAGTTTAATATTTCGTCTTGGAACGCTCCTCAAACAATCGGCGTTATTTAAACTTAATAGCCGTGTTCACACACCACATCTTGTATTTCAAGTCAGTTCTCGAATTTATACATTTGTGATATTTACCCACACCAATAATCTCTCTTACGCAAATTGGCTTCGCATATTCTCCTTGATTTCTTTGATTGTTTTTGCTAATTTAAAAACATTTTCGGTTTTGTTTCAAGATGGATTTTACGAGAGATACTAACGTCATTTTCTACACAGTTTAAGAATACCCAGCTCTGTTGATAAAATATTTATTTGGTTGATTGTTTATTTGTATTGTAAAGGCCTTAAAGGGGTACTCCGGCATCTTTTCGTAGTTGTCAATTTGCCCGAAAATTTACTAATCACAGGAGAAAACATATG